ATGTAAGGAGGCCTTTGACAGATTCTCTTGGGTTTTCGAGGTACACCATCATATCATCAAAAGCACATTTTCATAAATGCTGACAGGAAATATGGTTTCAAGCATTTGCATTTCTGATTTCAAAAAGTTCAGTGTTTTCTCTGTGGTTTCTTCAGCTCTTTCAGTTAGCCTTCAAGTCATCCATCATGAAACAAGGCAATAAGAATAAATATATCCATCACTAGTTGGTGTTAGTCATTTCTTATCAAGGAAGTTAGTTGTAGTTTGGGAACCTTTTTCTTCTGGAAGGAAAACAGATGATCATTTGGGACTAGAGTGGTCAGAGTTAATAATTCACAGAAATACATAATCCTTCGTATCTCACCTTCTGTTCTTTTTATGATTCTGAGTAAATTTTTAAAAAATTTAGTAAATTATTTTATTTTGTTGTCTAATTCTATTAGAAAACAAACAAAACTATATAGAATAAAGACTTATTATCCTTAAAATGACAGCAAAGACTGGTGAAAATGAAAATCCATGGACAGGTTGTTTTATTTGATGACATGTGGCATGCCAAGCCATCTGTCCATTTGTCAGACAGTCTGTTTGCCTCTTGATCTAACATAGGATGCATGTAGTAATGAGAGGACAGATTTTATAGTTTCATTTTATTCTTTACTTTTAGACCAGCAAACAAAATGGAAGATCGTTAAAGAAGAGGGCTCAAGACTTTCTGCTGAAGTGGAGCTTTTTTGGTGCCCGAGTAATGCATAATCTTACCTTGAACAATGCATCCAGCTTTGGTATCCTATGTGCTTCATAAAACTCTTCTTAAATGAGTTATATCATTTTTACCTCATTCACATGTCCTATCTATTTTTAAACATGCCACACTGTCACTTCTCAAACTGTATTGAATATTGAGCTAGTAGAGAATGGTGGTTATGAGTCTGGGGCTTGGAGTCAGACAGTATGCAGGGCTGAATCCTAGCACTACTTCTCTCTGGCTGTGGGCCAGTCTGCTTATTGAAGAAGGGGAATAATACTCTCTTCATAGGTTGTGTGGGTGCTTTAGAGATTATGTATGTAGAAATACATTGCCCGGTAATCAGAAAACACTTAGTGAATATCAGCTATTATCATTACATTTCATCAGTGTCGGATAAATTTTCTTTGTTAAACAAACACATAAACAATAATTAATACGTTATTTTCCAAAGGCACCATCAATTGCAATATAGCAAATTTTTGCACCTTTTCTAGGCATCTCCACATCTGCACTTCAGGAATCAAAGGGCAGCTTAGAAAACACACTCATAAGTTTCTGGGATTGAGTCCAATTAGCTTTTTCAAAAATGGAACACTTTCTTTTTCCTAACATGTCTCAGATTCCTAGCTTGTAGTTATCATGCTAAACTCATGGATAGTCACTCTGTGCTTAATAGCTGCATTTAAAGAAATCATCAATTTTGAACGAATGAAAATGAACTAAATTGTTTTTATTTAATGTTCAATAAAATTAAATATAGTCAGTGAGCTTCTGTTGAAGTATGAACAAAATGTTTTGAGCTTATTGAGTCTATTATTGCTCACATTGAAGATTTTACAAAATACACAGCAGTAAAACCTGACTTTATTACGAAAAAGTATCTACTTTTGTTGTGAAATCTGTTCAATAGTTTTTTAAAAACCTTAAGATTTCCAGTGTATCTTTCACACAAAAATTACTCTTTTGCATTTTTTTAAAATCAAAGAACATTTTGTTTTAGGGTAGAAAAACATCTTTTCAGTGATTTTTTTCAGACCATTTTGGCCATTGTCTAATTATTTAGTACAAAGCAAACAGACATAGAACCAAGTAGAGCTCATTCTCCCCAGGCTGAAGCTTATCACACTTCAGTGTGTGCCCTCTTACAACATAAAGCGTGTCTCACTTTCATCCGCATTTTCCTTTGATGTAATTAGTGGCCAAAGAGCTGGCAGGACAGTACACACAGTGAGCTGGGCTGCAGTACACAGAAAGATTAGAGACCCAAGTTAAGCATGTTGGTCTTAGCAGGTCATTTAAAGTCCAACAAGTATTTGTTTATTTCAGTTGCTGCTTGTAAAGTGTTGAGAGATGGTCACAAAGATAACTTGACTTCTCTTTCTCTTTCCCCTCCCTTTCTCTCCCTTTTTTCATTTCACCGTGTTTTTTCCCCACTCTCCATCATAAACAAGGTTCTTTTCATTTGATTCGAATGCTTCTTGATGAATACATCCTCCTGGCCATGGAGACCCAATTTAATAATGACAAAGAGCAGGAGTTACAGAATTTATTGGACAAATATATGAAGAATTCAGGTAATCTAAAATAATAATCTTGTTTTGCATATTTCTACGTGTAAGCCTAAATTCAAGAATTTGTAAGTGCATATGTTAAATAGGTTTGTAATAGTCTTAGAGTTTTTCCCTATATGTCATTACTAACACTGTACAAGTAAACTAACACTCTTGGAGTGCCATGTTATATATGTGTGTGTGTGTGTGTGTGTGTGTGTGTGTGTGTGTGTGTGTGTGTGTGTTTTGAGTAGGAATCTCACTCTGTCTCTCGGGCTGGATCATGGCTCACCTCAGTCCTAACCTCCTGGTCAGGCGATCCTCCTGCCTCGTCCTCTTGAATAGTTGGGACAACAGGCATGTGCTACCACACCAAGATAATTTTCTTGATTTTTTTCTTGTTTTAGAGAGGTTTCACTATGTTGTCTAGGCTGGCCAGGAATTCCTGGACTCAAGCAGTTCTCCTGCCTCAGCCTCCCAAAGTGCTGGGATTAACAGACATGAGCCACCACACCCAGCCAAAAGCACTATTTTTTCTTTCATTAATTTATACATAGAGTAGTCAAAATATTTTACTGGAAACTCTGAAGGATGCAAAACTGGTGTCCTTAATTTTTGAGAATTTAGATGAAGTTGGAGAAGTGACTATAATACAAAAAATAACTATCAGTCAAGGCAGCATATGTGTTATTCTACATATATAAGTGGTATAGAAATAGCACTCTATAGGAGTTTAGAGAAGGAACACATCTATTTGGGATAGCACAACATAATTTTGAAGACTTTACTCAGAGTATATTAGTGTCCCACAGAACAATTCTACACCCACACATTCACAGCTAAAGAAAACCAGCACCACTGACAAGAACAAAGGTCTGCCAGCCTTATTTCTCATGGAAAGCATAGCTTAGGAGTTTCCAGATTAATAATTCAGTCATGAAACATTTTCAGTTTTTTTTACCTGGGTTTGTCTACTAGGAATATGGAAATAATTGCAGCTTTCCCACTTAAAAAATATTTTTAGATGCAAGTAAAGCTGCTTTCACTGCTTCTCCAAGTTCGTGCTTTCTGGCCAACCGTAATAAAGGGAGTTCGGTCTCCAGCGACACTGTGAAGAATGAAAGTCATGTGGAAACAACCTATCTTCCTCTGCCATCCAATCATCCCGGAGGCCTAGCCCCTGCCCTGCACCCATTCCCTGCTGGGAACACAGATGACATGACGCTTGCAGGTACCCGTGAAGCAACCACGAGGACCACTTCATCTCCCACAAATATCAGGGGAGGCAATTCCTTTGTTTTTCTTAAAACTCATACTCTCCAGAGATTCTGAGAATAAAAAAGGATGATCTTAACTGGCTTTTAATACAGAATATCATTTTTGTGATTTTTATTAATTAGCATTCAATAAACACCATTATTATTATAGGTATTCCACTTTGACACACTTTAGAAGATATATTGGAAGTATGAATAACTAGTTATTTTCATTCAGTGGAAGAAAAAATTAGATTAAGTGCACCTAAAATCCTTAAAATGCTTTGAAGATAAAAACAATCTGCTTTTTTTTTGGCTTTTGAGTAAACTTTATTTCTCCTTCATTAAAAAGTGGATTTGGATATTCTTAAATAGCCTTTACAATAATTTTTCCTTTTGTTCTAGGGCTTCTTTTGTGTCAAAGTCAATGTTTAGTGGCTTGAACTGGCTACTAGGCAGTATTTTCAATCTGCTTATTGTTGCATTGTGTCTTTTTTGAAATTCTTTCATATATATTACTTCATTGGACCCTCAGAATTTTAAATGTGGAAGAGCCTTACAGTTTAGAGATCCAAATTCTCTGATGGGAAATCAGAGGCCCAAGGAGTTGGTAGCATTCATACATTGTACTGCTCATCAGAGATGTTTTATGATGTTTTGAATGGACAGTTTTGAAGGCATGGCTGTTTTAACATTAGTGCCTTTATCTTTCACCCTAGATCAAACTATTTAATATTCAACTTGTTTTTTAATTATGGGGACATGTGAGCAGGACTCTGATGATTTCTCCAAATGTGAGTTCTGATTATCTCTGCATCTGTGGCAACATGACACCATTCAGACTTTCCTACATAGTCACTAACTCCAAGTCTCCACTTTTGTGACCTATGTGTTTTATGATTATATTTTTTTTTAATCTGGATTTTTGGTTCTCTCCAATTGAGTTATTTTTTGGAGTAGGAATGAGCCAAGTTGGAAAAAGGCATATTAATAAATCTTTTGAGTATTCTTTTAAAGATTTAAGCCCATCTACTTTAATATGACACTAAATTCATATTCTGGTAGTTTCTGGTAATGTTCTGGCAATTTTTTTCTAGGTCAAATGGAGCTTTCACAGACTGCTGGTCATCTGATGACACCACCCATATCTCCAGCCATGGCAAGCCGAGGAAGTGTCATTAATCAAGGACCAATGGCAGGGAGACCCCCAAGTGTGGGCCCAGTACTGCCAGCTCCATCACACTGCTCAACATACCCAGAGCCCATTTATCCCACTCTCCCTCAAGCCAACCATGACTTCTATGGGACTGGCTCTAACTATCAGACTGTGTTTAGAGCACAGTCCCACCCTCCATCAGGACTCTATCCTCATCACACTGAACATGGTCGGTGCATGGCTTGGACTGAACAACAACTTTCTAGAGACTTCTTCAGTGGCAACTGTGCTGGGTCTCCATATAACTCCCGGCCACCTTCCAGCTATGGACCATCCTCACATGCCCAGGATCCACACACTATGCAGTTTTTAAATACAGGAAACTTCAATTTCCTGAGCAATACAGGGGCTGCCAGTTGCCAAGGAGCAACATTGCCTTCTAGTTCACCTAACGGTATTGCATTTTTAAAGAATTTTCTTGGCTTTTGAGATGGCAATGAAGCAAAATTAGAGTTCCGCCTCTGCTGAGTACCATATTCTCCCATGGAAGGCATCTAAAGGCCATGGAATCTTAGACATTTGGAGCTGATTTCTGTCACATATAAACATATTGCCTAATTCCTGTAGGTTTATTTAAGTTGCTCTTCTAAGTACCACACATGACAAAACATTGTATCAAGCCATATGCTTGAAACCAATCTTAATAATCCTAAAAATGTCTTGTCCTTTGAAAACATTATTAGTGGATAATGCTTCTTCTAGACAACTAAAAGCAGATTTTGAAGACTAGATCCAAAACAGTGCCCACTGTTAGGCTGATAAACACGTAAGGTTAAGGGAACTAAAATGACCTATGGACTCCTTCAGCCACCAAAGTAGGCGTTATATATAGTTTTCTCTGACGCCTAAGAATCTGTGTGTATGCAAGTCAGTCTTTCTCCCATAAACATGCATCTTTAAATAAAAATAGTATTTTTGTGAGAGGTTAGCAGTGTTTTTTTCTTCATAGGAAAATCTTGTAAGTTTAGGTAAGGGCAATATGAAAGAGGTATAGTCTGTCTCAAAATTAATAAGGCAATTCTTATGTATTTTAAAAACCATAAAACAGCATAGTAAACCAAACTTGTAAATAAGCACAAATCCAACTCTATAGTACATGCAGATGCAAATGTAATATAGTTTGATATCTTTAGGACTCTACTTAATTACCTACTTGCTTTTTTCTTTCCTGAAAGTTCTTTGTAATAAGTTAACAGTACATTCTCAACGCTTTCTGTTACAGGATACTATGGAAGCAACAGAAACTATCCTGAGTCTCACAGACTTGGGTCGATGGCAAATCAGCACGTTTCTGTCATCAGTAGCGTCCGTTCCCTGCCTCCCTACAGTGACATCCATGATCCACTTAACATTTTAGATGATGGTAGTAGAAAACAAACTAGCTCATTTTATGCAGACACACCATCTCCAGGCTCATGTCGGACTCCGGTACTAGGTAAATTATTTTAGTAGTTCTTGAAAATACTTAAAAAAAGTCATTGACTTTGGGAATACAGCATTATGCGAGGGAGATGTGTTGAGATGAACAGAGAGTGCATGTTCCCACAGTTGTGTTATCACTTTGGATGAGAAGTTATATCTTTGTATCTGAAAATACAGTTAGTAACAGTTTTCCATTTCTTTTCCTACGCATCAATACTATGCAACCTACTGCTAGATCTGTTATTTTTTTCCAAAAATAGCATCTATTATGCATGCAAAAAATTAATATAACCTGCTAACTGCAGCCAAAATACTATAAATTGTACAACAGTAGTGATAATATATTTTTCTCACTCTCTATTGATTACTATTGGAACCAATTGTAGAGCCAAGAGGTATCTTTGGATTTCATAATCTCCACTAATGCCCCCAAAAAATGATGCCTTGTGATAGAATGTGATCAAATACCTCTGCAGAAAATGTTGTTATTTTAATTACACTATAACATACAATTTAAGTAAAAATGAACAAAACAATGTGGTTGCCATGAAGTCTCCTGGAATCTTCTTCCAACCAAGTTGCCATTCCTAAGATCATCTATGAAGAAAGTCTTCAACTTGTACTAGATGCATCCCTGGCACCTAGGAAAAAGTCTTCCATGAAGTGTCCTCAAGAATTCGATAAATCAGTGAATGAGAAAAGGATAAAAACTAAATCTATACATACATCGAATCTATAAATGATGAATTAATATGTTATTACTAATAACATATTTAGAGACCAAATCTATGTACATATTTAGTTTATAAAATTACTGATGAGGTTTCACAGGGCAAGTACATATTCATTAAGTATCAAGGTAGAGTGGTAATGTTTGTAAGAGATGGTTGAAATCTTCCAATCGAAATTAGTTTGGAGTAGCGTAAGTAAAAGGCATCGACACTCAACCAGAGCATAAGGGAAAGTGAAATAAATTCCATCTCTCATCGCTCAGTGTACTTTTCCAATAATGCTATAGGAAGTACTCCATTCCTTCCTGTGACCATCACAGATACTCCCTGAGCAGAGTCTAGCAGCCCATCTCCTGCTATTTGCAAATGGTCATTGCTTCTAGGTAGCTCTAATGAAGCAGAAAATTCCACTTCAGGAAGTTTCCTCACATGAAGCTAAAGTGTACCGTGTTGCTATTGTTACTATTAGTTCTGTTTACTTGCAGAGATAGTGGAAGCTTTGACGAAACAGATGGTGAGTAGGGTGGAGTCTAAGCTTTGGTGGTCAGAACTGGCTTACAAGCAGATTGCCAAGTGGGCTTTGGGGCAAAAAAGGGAAATAGAATAAGTTGGTAAGTAGTGCAAGGGGAATTGGGACTCATTATAGACTTTTTTAGTTTTAAAACCTTGTTCTTAATAACAGAAAACATGTCACTCCAGCAGCAAGAAGGCAGCAACAAAATAGAAGGGAAATATGGAGCTAGTGAGCCAGTTAGAGAATTTTTTTTGAGAACCTACTATGTACTTGACTTCATTCTAGGTGTGAGGATACAGTGGTGATCAGGTCATAGTTTCTGCCTGTAAGAAGTTTACATTCTAGTAGAAGGAGAGTAAGGCAATGAATATATAAATAAATGATTACAAATATAGCTTCAGTTACTCTGAAGTTGGTTAATTAGGGCAAGAGGCAGATGGCTATTGGGGACTGCTTTACGTAGGGGTAGTTGGGAAAAGAATCTTGAGGTAGAAACATTTGAGTTGAAAGCTTAGTGATGAGAAGGAAGCAGTTCTATGAAGATCTGATGGGGGCGTTCTAAGCAGAAATAGTGAGTGCAGAACCTCTGAAACCAGAGCAAATTTGGAAATATTAGGGGGTGGAAAGAAGGTAAGTGTGACTCAAGCATCGTGAATGAAGCACAGTAAACCAAAAGGTGGGGTCAGTCCCCACAGGGCTTAGTGAACCAGGGCAAGAAATGTGGCTCTTCTCCAAGAGTATGGAAGGTGGCTGTAGTGCTTGAGAAGAAGGGTGGAAGTTTCATTTACATGTTAGCAAGATCATCCTGGCTGCTCTCTGGAGGGTGGGAGGGTGAGACAAATGTGAGAGTCATTGGACCTGTTGGGAGACTGCTATGCTGATCCAGGTAAGAAAGATTGTGGTTTGAACTACAACCATGGAGATTCAGATGGAAAGAGGAGGTGGATTGAGGGATATGTTTTTTTTTTTTTGGTGGTAGTACTTAAGTTCATATTGAGTTTTGTGTGTGTGTGTGTGTGTGTGAAATATGTAGGAGAAATAATTTCTGGGAAAATAGCAAATATGAAAAAATGGAAGAAATGATGATTGCGCCGACAAACCGTACAAACTCAAATTTAGAACAGGTGTATATACTAGATGTAAACATAAATACAAATGCTTAAAGTCAGTGGCATGTGCAGAGAAGAAAACATCAACCAATTTTAAACTACTGATTAATTTTTCTCTTTCAGCTTCCAACTTGCAGACCTCAATTCCTTCTTCCTCATCCCAGTGTATGTATGGAACCTCCAATCAGTATCCAGCTCAAGAAACCCTGAATTCCCATGGAACCAGCAGTCGAGAAATGGTGTCTGCTTTACCGCCCATCAACACTGTGTTCATGGGAACGGCAGCTGGAGGCACCTAAATCAACGATGCTGGGGGAGTGTTGAAACTTTAAAATCTCTACTGTGCAAATATCATTATTCACTTAGACTACTATGAGAGTGAAGAAAACGGAATATGTAGTGGCTGAAATTGTTTTTCAAATCACTGGTATTATGGACAATGCCATAGTGAATGGAGATACTTGCAGAGTTTGTCTTGCACACAAATTGCTTAAAATGTGAGCTCATGACTAGTAATCATAGTTTCAAAAAATATCAAATAAAACCAGTGGAGATTTGAAGCTACCAATGTTTCAACTATGAAGATTCAATAGTTCATTTTTTAATTATTAAAAATTTGTGTGCTTTTTCATCTCTAAAAAAGAGAAAAGTGTATTTAATGTCTTTCTAATACTTTTAATTTATTATGATCTCAAATCATTGTTTGCTATCCCTTATTTGACAAAAAGTCAAATTGGATGTTCTACCTCCTGTGGAAATGTTTACAATTCCAATCAGCCTAGACCCAGGTTGCTTGACTTTCTATTTCTGTGCATTAGTGTGGTGATTTCTGGTGCACAGTAGTATTCAAAGTCTATGTAACTGAACAGAGGTGATAAGTGCTGTCTCTTCCTTATTTAAAAATGATAAAAAGAAATAAAAGAAGCGATGCATGGAGGTACTTTCAAAGATCTGGCTGCTTTCAGGGCTGGCACTGTTTCTGCAGAACACTGGGGATTTGGAGGCAGAGCTTCTTTGGATATGAAATTAAGGAGTAAGACTGGTTGGTTACACAATATAATTCAAGATTATTTGCATATCAGATCCATGTCAATAACATAAAGAAAATGTGACTGGTAGACTGAACTCAGATTTAAAAGCAGTCATGTCACGTACTTTTTTTATACCTTGAGGGTGAATGAGTGTTCAGGGATCATCTGGATGCAAAGGCTAATTCAGAAATGAAGGATTCATTACATATAAATTAATACAGTTTAATAATACCACCTATCTAGCCCTGTTTCTTTTTCTTTGCCATGTGTCTTGGCTGAAATGTCTGTTTAAAGATTCCTGGCCTATGATAGGAGACTTCTACTAGCTTTACAGGCTTCTCCTATAATCATAAGACAGGCTTCATATTATTTGTATTAAGGATTAGGTTATACTATAAGCTCCAAATACTCATTATACATTATGATGTACTTTGTCAAAACAAACTTTGGAATTGTTTTTGGCAAGCAATAAACAATTATCTGTGGACTTGTCAGAGTGTGGCTACCATTTGCTTAGAACACTACTGTGTTTAGTAGTATGTAGTTTATGGTCTAATAAATTGAGCAGAAAAAAATTGCAGCAGCAGTAACAAATCATGAAAAACAGACTAAAAATTCTATTATCTTATTTAGAAATATCGTGGGAGTACAAAGGAGGGTTAAATTAATAAATACTCGGAATGAATAGTAAACAAACAGCTTTAAACAATGTTTGACCGTAAGGCTTGAAAGTTAAGGACCACAATTTTAATGTATTGTAATTAAATATACATTCAGCACCTATTATGGATCAGACACTGTATTATACACTGTGGAAGATAGAAATATGTGAAAGACACTGTCGTACCTTTAACACGTTCTGGCGTAATGATGAAGGGATAATGTGATAGGAAACCAAAGCTCCTTGAAGATTTTTTTGAGTAGAAAAGCAATATGGGGAAAGTGACTAAAGTGAGGGGGTAGATTGGACTGGGAAAACATTGACCTGAAAAAGGGTTATTTGGGAGGCTGTTTCTCTCATCTAGCTGTCCAGTGGATAAGCACAGAGAATACTTGGAAACAGCAGAAATGAGTTGGGGAGAGAGAAAGCACACAAGCATATATTGAAGGATTTTTCCTGACCCTATTTACAAAGCTTTTTCCTACCCTATTTGCAAAGCATTGCAGTGTAAACAGTTGGCTCTATATTGATGCCTGCTTTGTAAATGAGAGAAAATGATCTGGAGAAGGAGAAGCTCTCATGTGCACCTGGCTGATAACAAGGTGCTCAATCTTGATGTCAAGAGACAGATAACTAACTCACTCTTTTCTCCAAGCAATGGGACTTGAGTTTATTCTCTGTTAGATGCATAGTGGAGTTTCTCCATGCAGGCACCACTGGCTTTTAGGCTGGTCAGTTCTTTGTTTTATAGAACCTTTCTACATTTTGCATGAGATGTAGTATCCTTGGCCCCCCAAACACTAAGTGCCAAGAGAACATCCTTTGCCAGTCACTGTGACAACCAAAAACATTACAAGTTTTCAAATGTTCCTGGAGAGACAGTACTAGTCCTGCATAAATTAAAGGTGACAGCATCTTTAATTTTGCCTAGAAGAAACATGAGACAACATGATACCTCTCTGCCCTTCAGTTACACTCATCATTTAAGAATTTTTCCTTCATGGATCTAAAGCCAGGATGCTCAAGGCATTTTCTGATATTCTTGTTGTTAATTTCAATACAGTTAAAGGATCTTGTCTAGCTTTTCAGTGTTTCTGTTTTTAAAAGTAAATAAATTATTCTTGAAGTGGTTTCTGGAAGTTATGAAGTATCATTTATAAAAAGTGACCTGCTTCAGCTAATGCTTATGTGAAAGTAAGGTAAGAAGTCAGAGTTCAAAAAATATTTGTTTAATAACTCAATTCTTAGGGTACTAGTTTCAAATCTTATGTTGTAGTGGCTACTAGAAGTAAAAACCATACTAACAAATGAATGCTCCAATTAATTCAGTGGATTCTTAATACAGTTTAGGGACCAAGAACCTGTTTTACAATAACTCAAAACCCAGCTACATTATTAACATAGAATCATAGATCAGAAAGGACCTTCTTTATTTCCTCCCTACAGGTAGTATTGAACTAAGAAAAATTAGAGCGCTCCTCTATACATGTTCCTAAGTATGCCTTTAGGTCAGAAAGTTAAGAAAAGCCCACACATACTTAAGTAAAATTTCCATTACAGTTGTGATGCAAAAACCTTCCTCTTTGTTCCTCCATCAAGAGGTAAGAATTCATGAGACTCTCAAGGTCTCGCTTGCACAGGGTCTATTTTTGAAATGGAGAGGGGGTGATTGCCACATTGTCCAAGGAGAGCATGGACACAGACATTTAGTGCCAGGGGCTAGCAGAAGAGGGAGACAGAAGCAGAGGTGGAGAGAAGCTGGGTCGTGAGCAAGTCCATGGGCAGCAATGGCTGGACCCCTGTAATGGGACTTCGAAATGACAGGCTCCCAGACCTGCCGTAGAAACCAGAACCGCAGCTGTGCCGTCCTGATCAGTGAGGAACAATGCCCAGGCCTCTTCTGCCCACTCGAATGTGCCCTCGGAGTCTCAGATGGACATGATCTTCATGTGGCACTCAAAGCATAGCTGCTTTAACTACACCACCAGATGTACTACAAACAACTCATAAGCAGTAAATCACAGTCTCGCTGATTTTAATTCTGTATAGCTGAATCTCTTCTCATACAAATGAAGTCCATTAAAATAGAACAAAGAGTACTGCCAATTTCTGAATGTCAGCCTAGGTAGTGCATTTTCCTTCCACACCCCTCCAGGAGGAAGAAAAGGGAAGAGAAGGGAAGGGAAGGAAGAAAGGGAAGGGGAGGGAAGGGGAGGGAGGAGAGGGAGGGGGAGAAGGGAGGGGAGGGGAGGGAAGGAATGGAAAGTAAGAAAGAGAAGAGAAGAGAAGAGAAGGGAGACGTTTGAGATACATATTCTGAAATCCAAACCCAAGTTCTAACTTTTTTAAAAAGTGAGAGCCAAATGAGAGTGATATGTTTGAACTCCCTGAAAAGGGATTTTTCAGGCACCCAGGCTTCCATGCAATAGGGAGCAGAATTAATTGCCATGTAAGTGTCATAATGGCTGCTATAAGCTCTTACAAGGCCTGGAGCAGTGAACTATTCACACAATTATTTTGAGGGCAGATTTATAATCCAGGGTTAGTTATAGAAATTTAAACAAAAACCTTCCAGAAAGTAAACAATAGTGATTATGGCATACAGGACATTTCGTTCTTCAGGAAAGATAAGAAATGATGAATTTATATAAAAGGTTATTGTACCATCTCATTCAATTATTGAATTCTAAATTAAATTCTAAAGTTTGCAAATGGCAGAGAACACAACCTGTCTGTTCCAAAAGCACACTGATTAAATGAAAAGAAGATAAATTTTAGTTATTCCTTGTTTATAGACATTAGCAATGACTGAATAAAATTGGTAATTATAAGTGAACCCTGAGGAATAATATGTTCATAATTTTGAGATATTTACTCACAAAGTAAGGGTTTCTGTCCTTATTGATAAGAAGTTTTCAATTAGTTTTCTAATATCAAAGTCCTAAAAATAGTATTTACTTTTTTCCTGATCTTGGCTAAATTATACTATGGTAGAAATGTTTTCTATTATGAAAACAATTTATTTTCCTGAACAAGCAAAATAATTTTTTTATTTAGCCTTTTTTGGAATCTAATTGAGCTAGATCTAATTGAGATCTCTGATTGTTTCCCCAAATCTATGTTTAACTGTCTATATTTTCAATTATACTCATGCAGAAATTTATGAGGATAAAATTGACCACACATTGGGAAACTGCCAGGGGAGATGGGTGGGATTGGCAGTTGAGGGAAACTGCCAAGGGAGGGAGGGGTACAGCTCATCAACAAGGGTAGCTGCATAATGAACATTTGTATACCTAACCCTGAATTGTACCCCACATCTTTAAAATAAAGGAAAAAAAATTGACCACTCATTGGTTTGACCCTTTTATGTGTCATATCATAAGGCTGTAGTAGAAGACTCCTGGTCAATTGAATAGTATGGGAAGCTTTGGACATATACAGGTAGAATGACTCCAGATTCTTCTTCCTATTACAAACTTTATCTTATGATTTACAAATATTTTATTTGATCTCAAGTATTAAAATTTATTGATTGCTTAAGTATTTTTTCTTTTTAAAAAACTGAAGTAGGCCGGGCTTGGTGGCTCAGCCTGTAATCCTATGCTTTGGGAGGCCGAGGTGAGTGAATTGCCTGAGCCTGTGGGTTCGAGATCCGCCTGGGCAACTTGGCGAGACCTCATCTCTACAATAAATCAAAAAATTAGCCGGGAGTGGTAGCGCACGCCTGTAGTTCTGGCTACTTGGAAGGCTGCGGCAGAAGGATCGCCAGAGCCCAGCAGGTCGAGGCTGTGGTGGCCAGGAGCCGTCACTGCACTCCAGTCTGGGCGACTGAGTGAGACTCCAACTCAAAACAACAACAACAACAACAACAACAACAACAACAAACTGAATTAGAAAAGACAGTGTTTGAGTATTTTTAAGGAAATGTCTTTGTCGCATTGTTAAGCTTGGTTAGTTTTTGTTAAGGAGCTAATGTGCTAAAGGTTCCAAGAGACAATTCTTTGCAGCCCACGTTTCAACAAATATGCTTACACTAGTGATAACAAGAACAGTCTCAGTCTCTCCCCTCATGGAGTTAATAGTTTATTAGGGAGGTAGACATTAAGCTAAACATTTACACAATTGGTTACAGCTGAGAAATAATTGAAAGTGTGAAAAGCAAAGGCTGCTCAGAGAGACTGTAACAAGAGCTAGGCTCATGGAGGTGTGTGCAGCGCAGGAGACTGGGTAGGAGAAGCAGA